ATCACAGTTCTGATGTTTTTTCCTCATAGATTAGCGTTGCCTGTTGTAGAATTTCATAGAAATGAAAGTATACCGTATATACGGTGTATGTGCAAGACTTCCTTCACTCAACACATGGCACCATCTATTTTGCTTCACCTACAAAGTGAGTTGGAGTAATCCCATTTTGTGATTTCAAATGGTTTTTCTGAAGTGGTGAATTTTTCCTTTCAGGCCTGTTTCCTGCCATTCTCAATCTTGCCAGCAATGCTCACATCAGCACCAATGCCACCTGCGGCGAGAAGGGGCCCGAGATGTTCTGCAAACTCGTGGAACATGTGCCCAGCCGCCCTGTGCGAAATCCACAGTGCAGAATCTGTGATGGCAACAGTGCCAACCCCAAAGGCAAGTGCCGTATCTTCTATCGAAAGTACTGATGGCAATTTGTACTTTAGACATGCGAACAACAGACTTTTATTAGGTGACTATGAACATCGTGTCCACTTTTAATGCTATTCATTTCCAAAGGCTATACTGTTCAGAAATGCTAACAAATTTAAAGCAACTGAGAGTGATGCATGTTTTTGTTTTCTTTTAACAGAACGACATCCAATATCAAATGCGATAGATGGCACCAATCACTGGTGGCAGAGTCCCAGTATTCAAAATGGTAGAGAATACCACTGGGTCACCATCACTCTGGACTTGAGACAGGTAGGTAAGACCGGGACCATGGAGGAATGTCTACATGCTACTGAACCGTATCCTTCTGATGACTTTTGGGAAGTCTGGCTTGTCTCTTAACAACATGTTGACCTTTTGGCCTCACAGTTTTCCCACTAGGTAAAGTCAAGCGATGTATGTAAGTAGTCCGTGGTGCCATTTCGTGTCACATTTATCATTCCTAGGTATTTTTGAGAAGACGAATGAAATTGTTTCCCTATGGTTTAATGTTCTTAGATGCTGTAGGACACATTCCTCCATTCAGGATACTACACCAGGCCAGGTGCCGACAGACGCACTAGGGGCCCAACACAGCCAGCCCCTACCTTTTGAGCTTGTTGCCAGCTTCTGTCGAGTCTGCTCCTACTCATGACAACCTTATATATAACAGAACGAGACATTCTCTGGTCCTGTGTCATCTTCATGATCATTGGTATGCTCCAGTCCATTGTTGCCGCCATGGTATGGTGCCTTCCAACCTAGGAGGCTCATCTTCCAGCACTATATTGGACAATATTTTTTTGTGATCCATAGATTTTTCACTGGCTAATTTTCTAGATTGTCGTAGATTGGAAGCTTTGCTGAAAGCTGTCTACCATGGTGACCTTGCTGGTATTTGAAAAGTAAGTGGCATAGCTTCCAGCACCACAGCAA